GATTATGTTCCATGCATTTTGTGATGTACTGAGAGTCCAAATGTGAATGACACACATGCTTCTTTTTTTCTATTTATTTATTTGCCAGTTTTATTGAGAAATAATTGACATACATTACTGTATAAGTTTAAGGCATATAGCGTCATGGTTTGATCTGCATACACTGTGAAATGATTACCACAATAGGTTCAGCTAATATCCCTTCTTCTCAAATATGACATACACTCTTCTGATTCCAAGGAGCTTATAGTCAATTAGGGGCACAAATAAACAGCCCGTCATAACTCATTACATATTTTTTGAGATCTGTAAAAGACGCAACAGACATACAAAGGTAGGAACCTAGGAATGTCTGGAAAAACCAGGAAAGACTTCTCAGGAAAGACAGTTCTTGAACTGAAATTTGTAGAATGAACAGGAATTTTCCAGATGGCTGAAGGGCATGGGTGGCTGTTTTTCAAAAACACCTGCCATTGTAGAAGTGAATGGAGAGCTCCTGGAGTCTGTACAAAGAATCAATGCACATTTTGGGATTAAAAAATTGGAATCCCTTTTGGTGTTAAATGTAAAATTTTTTTTACCTATTTGTGCATAACTCACTTCATGTGGTGTTCAGCTCCCTGTATTTCTGGAGTACAGAGGATACTAAATGCTCATGTCAAAGCCATACACACCTAGTTATTATTTCTGGGTTATGGGGGAGGGATTTAAGAAGAGAAGACAAAAAGTAGAGAAACATAAGAGGCAAAGAAGGTGATCCAGAAGAGAGAAAAAGAAAAGTTGCAGGAAGAGGAAGAAGGAAGAGAGAGAGGAAGAGAAGGAAAAGCTCTCAGTCCAGAAAGTCTCTGTGATTCACCTAGTTTCCTTGATAAAGCTGGGAGTAGGGATTCAAGGGGAGCCATTAGCCCAGAGCAGGAGCACAACACCAGGCCTTGATGTTAAAGAACCGGTGGGCGACCCCCTCCCGGATCTGCTTAGTCTTCACACCATAGACAATGGGGTTGAGCATTGGCGGCACCACCACATAAAGATTGGCCAGCACAATATGGACATGCTGAGGTATGTTCCGTCCAAAGCGATGGGTCAATAATGTAAAGAAGGATGGAACATAAAACATGAGGATGACACAAAGGTGAGAACCACAAGTGCTGAGGGCCTTGTGCCTGGCATCCTGGGAGGGCAAATGGAACACTGCTCGGAGGATCAGTGAGTAAGACACAGCGATGAGGATCACATCCAAGATGACCATGATGATGGGCACTGAGAAGCCATACCAGATGTTAATGGTAATGTCAGCACAGGCCAAGCGGGCCACTCCAATATGCTCGCAGTAAGAATGGGGGATGATGTTGGTCCGGCAGAAAGGCAAGCGCTTTAGCAAGAAAATCACTGGGAAGATGATGCAGAAACTTCGGGTGACAATGGCCAGAGCAGTCCTTCCCACAACAGGCCACGTTAGCATTGTTGCATAATGCAGGGGGGTACAAATGGCCACAAAGCGGTCAAAGGCCATGGCTAACAGGATGGCTGACTCCCCAACAAACATCATGTGAACAAAGAAAACTTGGGTGACACAGGTATCAAAGGCAATGTCATGAGCATGGAGCCAAAAGATGGCTAGGGCCTTGGGGACAGTAGTGGTGGACAGCAGGATGTCGGTGATGGCCAGCATGGAGAGGAAGACGTACATGGGCTCATGAAGGTTACGTTCCATGATGATGACCACGATCAGGATGCTGTTCCCCAGGACTGCAGTGATATACATGAGGCAGAGGGGTACTGACAGCCAAATGTGATAAGCCTCCAACCCAGGGATGCCCAGTAAGACAAAAACTACAGGGTGGAAGATGGTAAAGTTGGTGTGAGTCATGATGCACTTTAGGGTCCTCTCTGTGATGACTTAGAAGCTGATGAATCTGCTGAAAGGGAGAGAAAAAGAAAGCACCTGTGAGTATGTGCAGAGATCACAAAAGAGAGCGTGGGTCTCTAAACTGTGGGACTCGTTTACAGAATTCCCAGGGACATGGCAGTGTGATGGGAGTCATAGCTTCAGCTCTAGAACCAAGGAGAACTAGGAGAGGAAATCATGGGGAAGATTAAGTCCAGGCTGAGGACAAGAGAAGTCATTTCTCCCTTGCAGCCCCCGACAAGATTCTTTTATTCTCTAGTGTCTTCTTTTCTCCCAGTGAGTCCCACCCAACTCTATTTTTTGTTTATGCCCATTCCCTCTCTAGAGAGTTATGTAAAAGCCTTTTACATCTTTATGCATTTTAATTTTGGAAGACTCTCAACATCATAGCGACATATTAAAATGCACCCACAGTGGGAGGGTATAGCTCAAGTGGTAGATTTTCGAGGCTCTGGGTTCAATCCCCCATTCCTCCTCTAAAAATAAACCTAATTACCTCCCCACCACCACCAAATAAAATAATTAAACAATATGATAATAAATAAAAATATTTTTAAATGCACACACAAGCCACATTAGATAGAATTGCTAGATAAATATATAGGAATTGAGTCAGTTACTTTTTGCCTAGTTGTATTATCTAGCAACTTATTTAAACAAGTATTAATTTCATTTTGCCATTTTTCTTGTACTTGTGTTTCACATCTCAAGTGTTTTTCACCACTCTTAGGTTCTTTTAAATGCACAGACTCTACACACTGAAGCTATGTCCTTAACAGATGAAACAGCCTGCTCCCCACCCCAACCCCAGATTATAAAAGTGGACCTAGGTTGGCAGTACAATATATGGAAGCATTAGTTGTGAGATGTGTCATGAGACGTTTGTTTCTAACAGTATATAAAGTACCAAAATTTGTAAATGGCTTATCCTTTTAATAAATTGGAACAAATTCAGATTTATCCCTCTAATAGCCTCACTCCTGTTCATGTGCACTTAAAGCCAGCATGTAAAACGCTTTCATAATCTAAAGCCAGTATTATTTATGCTGCAGAGGCACTGAGATAGTCTTAATTCACTGGCATACCCTTAATAGCAACTCATATTTTTTTAATAAATCTAAACATCTCAAGAAAAATGTCCATCAACCCATTTGCTTCACTCCCTATAAACACTTTGTGGATTCTGTCAACATTTGGGTAAGCATATGGTGGTGTATCATGTGTAAATATCATCATAATATTCTTATGATGTGACAGCAAAAACATGGAGGACCCCAGCTCCAAGACACAACCTCTTCTCCCAGCCTCTGAATCTGTTCTGTAAAATGCAGGATAGGAGACTGAGTGAGGAGGATTTTTCCAGTTTAAACACCCAGACTGACACCCAGATTACCAGGAGGAAGTTTCCTTAAGAGCTTTCCTCACTTTGGGATTGGGAGTTCACAGCACTCAGCACAGTGTCTCACACATCATAGATTACTTAGGAAATGTTTAAACAAATGAACTATGGAAATAGTCAATTAATCCTTCACCAGTAGCTTTGCTTGTTTCTCCAAAATGATGATCAAAATCTGAGCCATTTTCCTGAAGAGCCCCCACTGATATCCCTTGTCCTGGTACAGTCTGATTCTGACTACTTTATGAACTGCCCTCAAACCTTTTATCAAGAGGTCTCTCTTCCCCCTGTGTTCTCCTGGTACTTTTCCTGGCCCCTTTCCGCATTCTCGTTCCTAACCACTTCCACCTCCTAGTCCCACTGACATCTCCCTCAGTGCCTACACCCCTTGCCACCCTGAGCTCTGTCATGCTGCAATCCCTCTCTCATCCTTTGTCTCGCTGACCACTTGTCCTTCTCCCACATTTCCTCTCTCCCAGCTCATCTTTGTCCTTTACTGATACTCTTAAATACACACAAATACACACACACACACGCATACATGCACTCTTGCCAATCCCTCCCTCTACCACCGTCAACGCCCTTAAACTCACCTATGACATTACAGTATCAGATGAGGGGTTGCGAAAGTGTCAGAAAACAGCTAGAAACTTTGCTTGTTCTGAGGGAAGAGGAATGAGAAGGAAAGAGAAAGCTGGAGACTGACCATGTTGGCATGAGGGTTGTCATTACTCCTGCTCTGTACAGGGTGCTTATATTTAGAAACTGAGAAGCCATCTGCTTCCTTCTTCTGGAGTCAGGTGTTAGAGTCACCCCTGGGATCAGTTCCCCTTTGGTCCATGAACCAAAGGAGAAATGAAAACCCTTCTCCAAGAAGGGAGTCAAGGGAGCCAAGAGGGAGCACTAATTCTAGGGATAAAATGCTCCAGACAAAATGCACATGAAGTATTGGAAGACACAGCATAAGAGCAGTGACAGAAATCCCAGCAATAAAGTAATAACATAATAACAGCTAACGTTGAGCCCTACTAAATCCTTGTCGTGGGGTTAGGGTTTAATATAAATTATTGCATTTAATTCTGAGAACAATCCAGTGAGATAAGGCATGGTTATTGTATCCATTTGGCAGATGAGAAAATAGAGATTTGGAGAGATGAAATAGCTGATAAGGAGGGAAGACAAAAGCCCCCTCGGATGAACATGTCAAAGTGTTCAGACTCAGTCCAGAAACATAGATTAAGGGAGCTGAGAGGGAGAATCTTAGGCACCCTCTAGGGTCAGTCACTCAAGAAAAAATGAGACAATAAATGAAAAGTTGATTAAAATTTTTACACAATTATGGCCAATAGGCACATGAAAAAATGCTCAATATCACTAATTATCATAGAAACGCAAATCCAAACTACAATGAGGTATCACCTCACACCAGTCAGAATGGCCATCATTCAAAAGTCCACAGACGATAAATGTTGGCGGGGCTGTGGGGAAAAGGGAACCCTCCTACACTGTTGGTGGGAGTGTAGTTTGGTACAGCCACTATGGAAAACAGTATGGAGATTACTCAAAAGACCAAAAATAGACTTACTATATGATCCAGCAATCCCACTCCTGGGCATATATCCAGAGGGAAACTTAATTCAAAAAAATACATGCACCTCAATGTTCATAGCAGCACTATTTACAATAGCCAAGACATGGAAGCAACCTAAATGCCCATCGACAGATGACTGGATAAAAAAGATAACCATAGAAAAGAATGAAATAATGCCTTTTGCAGCAAATGGATGGACCTAAAGATTATCATACTAAGTGAAGTAAGTCAGACAAAGATAAATATCATATGGTATCATTTATATATGCAACCTTAAAAAGTGATACAAATGAACTTATTTACAAAACAGGAACAGACTCACCGATATAGAAAACAAACTTATGATTACCAAAAGGGAAAAGGGGGAGGGATAAATTATGAGTTGGGGATTATCAGATATAAACTACTATATATAAAATAGATAAACAACAAGGTCCTACTGTATAGCACAGGGAACTACATTCAATATCTTATAATAACCTATAATGGAAAAGAATATATACATATTATTTGTATAACTGAATCACTATGCTGCACAACAGAAACTAACACAACATTGTAAATCAACTATACTTCAATAAAAATGAATTAAACATATAAATGTGTATACACTATAAAAATAGTATCTTTACAATCTCAGGGTAGAAAAGAACTTATTAAATAATAAACAAAAGCATATGGCCTCGATGAGCTTTTTTTTAAAATTCAAGTTTATTGTAAGACAAATGACACCATAAATAAAATTAAAAGATAATTAACAGAATGGAAGGTTATATTTTCAATATAAAACAAAAGTTTAGTATCTTGAATATATAGAGATGTCTAGAAAAACTACAGGGATTTAAAAGACAACTGAATAGAAAAATACACGAAGAAAATGATCAGGCAATTTACAGAAGAGGAAATTTAAATGACCAATACATGAAAATGTTTGAAAAATGACATTAAAATAGTGAGCTAATATTTCTTATAAATCAGATGCATTAAAATGTATGTATGATCATATGATGTGTCAAGGATGTCAAAAAAAGTATCTCTCAAACTGCTGGGGGGAATACACAAACGAGCATTTTGAAGAGCAATTTAACAATATCAACTAAAGGTGAAAATGTGCATATCTTATGATCCAGCAATTCCACTTCTAGAGGTACACTACAGAGAATCTTTCATACATTTGAAAATGGACACATGTGTAAAGATGTTAATAGCAGTATGCAGAGCAAAATAATCAGAAACAGTTTTAAGTACATCAATAAATGAATTATATTTGGCCTAATCGTATGCTGTAAAACTATATAGCAATTTAAAGGGATGACAAAGATCTGTATCTCTGAATAAATAGAGTTCAACACATAATTTTCTGTATACAGTAGGCAATAATTTACATAAATATTTAAAAGTACCAACTAGCAAAAGCATTAAAAACTGAATTAGAAAGATACACTAAATTCAGGATAATTACTGTCTCTAAGGGGAGAATCAAACACTATGGGAGATAAAAGAGACTTCAATTTTATCTGTAATTTTTATTGCCTTTATTAAAAAGGAGCTAAAAGCAAGTTGGACGAAATGTTAGTAATTGTCAGTTCTGGATGTGCTGACACACGTGCATTTGTTCTTATTCTTTATACACACATGTACGTACACACACACGTACACACACACACACACACACACAAAAGCTACTTCTCAAATAAAATACGACCAAAAAAATACAAAGAAGCATATCAGAGACACAAGTATCAGTTATGAAGCTGCTGCAATATTCTGAGATAAATTTGTTGGGTATAAAAAAGGACACACTGCAGTGGGGACAGAGAGGAGACATACAAACACACACACACACACAAGGACATGGGCTTCAGTGGCTGTTTGGATGTAGTAAGAGAGGCTGTTTCCCCATTCATATTACTGTGCTTGCATATACTCTTTAATGTTTGCTATGGATGACACAGCACTTTTCCTGGTTGTAAGAGTCAGCCATGCAACGTGAGCCTAGAGGAAGGGAGGCGATGATGGGAAAAGATAAAGGTGCTACCTATTACCTCAAAAAAGAACTTCAGGGAATTAACTTCTTGAAAAGGGGCCCCAACAAAGTTAGTCAATTCAGAAGTCCCCCTCTAAGTGCGAGAGAGCCTTCAGAGGAAACCCCTCATCCTGTGCTAGGTCTTTAGGAGACCATCTCAGCACGGCTCTCACTACCCAACAGTGTTCAGAGAGGCTTAGTCAAAAAAAAATGGCTGTTCCATACCTCACATTGAAGGAAAGAATGATTGGATAAGTTAAGGGGAGTTTCAGGGTCCCAACCTAATCTTTCTGTCCTACAATGTTGCCTGGGAGACAAGGATGAGAACTGTGACCTCAGCACAGAGGAGAGCAATAGTGTCACTGCTAAATATGGTCAAAGGGCTGACCCAGCTTCAGAGGAAGGGTTAATGAATAAGGAGAGCAGACAATATTACAGGAAAATTGTTAAAAACTAGATCTGACCTATTTCATACCCCTATCAGAACCTGACTTCTATAGGATCATATTATAAAAGAAGGAGAATCGCTCCTCTCCCAAATCTACAGCCTAAGTGTCAGAACATCCACTGTCCTAGGGCTTGGGGACTCCCAGTGCCCCATTAAGGACCTTCTCATGGAAGGACTGGGAAGTCCAGATGGAAGGGGGAGGTGAAGCCAGAAGACAGAATGGTACAGTGGTTCCATACTTCCTCCACATCTCCATAGGAGAATGGAGATATGAAGTCCTTCTGTCGCTCCAGAAACCGAGGGAATATGAAGCCTGGGCTACAGTGGTGCTACTGGTCACAGAGGGGACTTACACTGACTTGGGAATAGAGACTTGACAATTGAGAATTTGCCTTAGGAGTTTTCTGGAAGAGGATTCAGTGTTGAGTGGCACCACTAGAACCCAAGATTTTCTGGTCTGTAATCTACTGCGTAAATAGATCATCACTCTCATGTCTTGTTGCTCATTGGTCACTGTAAGCAGAAAACCATAGATCAGGCCCACACAGACACAGTTGATCTCTCAGAACCCTGTTCTACAGCAGGTGTGGTGGCAGCTACATTAGACAAAGTGAGAAAATCAGGGGGTCAGTCCCCAAGTGGAGCCCTCCTATCCTATTTTCATGCCAGTCCAGAAGCCACTGTGAGATCTAATAAGCCTCCCCTCTTCCTCCCGCTCCACCTCTACTACCTCCAGAGGGCTGGCATCCGCCTCTGAGTAATAGCCCCACAAGGTCACAGGTGCATTGCTAGAACCCCTCCTCTAACGGCCAGTGTCACAGGCAAAGACCAGCCAGATCACCCATCAAAATGCGGTCAGAGAGCTCCTATAATGTTGGACTGGAGCCTGGGAGACCAACAAAGGAAAATTTCTAGAGACAAAGTCAGTGATATCCCCCAATACTTCCTGCATTACTAGAGTGGGAAATGCAGAATATAGCAGATTTGCAAGAATTTAATAACTTCAATGTTGTTGGGCTTAAGGGGTCTGTGATTTATCTTATGAACAATCATTATACAAACAGTTAGTGCCCAGGATAGGCATGTGTCAGCCAGAAGTGCTGTTAGTGTCCTCTTGGGACTGTTTGAATGTGGTGGCATCAAGTGTACTTTTTCCCTGCCCTCTCCTTCATGGCTCTCAGCCCACTGCTCCCACCTCCCAAGAGCACCTCTCCTCCTTTGGTGGGTGAGGGATCACCATCCACTGCCAAATAATTGCAGCTCTTTCTATATATCCCCATTCAGCAATCCTAGGACCACCTGCCAATCCCAAAGTCACCTGAACTCCTCCCAGGAACAGATGACTTTTGCCCCAGTTCTCCTTAGAAAACTACTCCTGTGCTAATCGTGGAAGTCTATGAAGCAGCGACTAAGAGCAGGGATGCCAGGGTCAGTATCCTAACTGCTGTCTACCAGCTGTGTGACCGTGGGCAAGTTACCTAATTTCTTCATGCCTTAGCTCTTTGTCTGTAAAATGGGGTAAATATTTGTACCTGCTGCAAATGCATGTCATGAGGACAGGGCTTAGGGCAGAGCCTGCTCATAGGAAACTCCACAGGACTGCAGCCATTACTATAATTCAGAGACTTCCCTGACTCCCACAGGAAGAGGGAGAGACTCCTTTCTCTATGCCCGCACCATACCTGGTACTGACCTAAATTAGTGCAGTTACCGTAATAGCCCTCCGACAATTGCTTGCATTGCTGTGTCCACTGGACTGCGATCTCCCTGAGAGCAGCAAGGTCTTGTTATCACCATTGCATCCTCACCACAGGGCACACACAAGAGTCATCTGGTTCTGCTATAAAGCTGGGTTTGAAATGTAAATGTGTTCCAACCAGTTGATATATTAGGGGACTGAGCCTAATGTGAATTTCCTGTTTGCTTATGTGTGATTCCATCTGCAAGAAACTAGGTGAAGGCAGAAAACTGCACCCAGCTGAATCAAGCCACGTAGGAAAACCTAACACGCACACGTGCACACATGCAAACATTTAACAGCTGCCTCTGTTCACTGCTTGTGTTGTGAGCTACACCCATCCACAAGTGGTATTACAACATTCCACCCAATTTTTTTTTTAATTTTGGAGGGTAATTAGGCTGGGGTTTTTTTAATTATTATTTAATAGGAGGTACTGGGGATTGAACCCAGGACCTTGTGCATGCTAAGCAAGTGCTCTACCACTGAGCTATACCCTCCCCGATTCCACTAAATTTTCGATCTGCATCTCCTTCTACCTTAACAATAATTCACGAGCTGCTTCCAACACTGACTTCCACAAGGAAAACTCCAGGTCTTTTTCAAGGTGAAGTGTCATATTTATTGGTATATTCATGTACTTTCTGACCATTTAATGGATGTCAAACACTACTACCATTTTTATTAGGTTCCCATCCTTTTTAAATGTGTCACTGATGACATTTTTAATGTTGTGCCCCTACTCCCATTTTCCCTCTCATAGGCCCTATGGTTTTGTCATGTTATCTTGCACAGTGTGTTGACTTTTAGAATACGTCTCATTATAGCAGTGGGACTTGTGGCTGATGGTGAATAACTCTCATTTCCATGAATATGTAAGGTTTCTGAAACTGTAGGAGCCCCTGTTAGTCAGCAAATGCTATTTGGGCCAGCAGTTTTGTCCCACAATTAAAAGCAATAAATATTTATTTATAGACAACTGACTATGGGGCATTGTGACAAGCAGTGGTGATACTGGGGCTAATAAGAAGCACTGCCTGTAACTCTTTCAGTCTGGTGGCAGGGGAGAGATGAGTGATTACAATGCAACAGAGGCAGACATGCCATTTAAGAGTAAAGAAAGCAAGGTCTTCTCTCCAGACTTCAGGGAGTCAGCAGAGACCTCTCAGAGGAAGTGCTCCTCTGCCCCAGATCTTTCCACTCCCATAAATCAGTCTCTTTCCTTGTTGCCCCCACCTCTGCCTCCTGACTCTACTTCCTGAGCCACCCAGCCTATCAGCACTGAGCAAAGAGGCAGAAAGGGAAGAGTTAATGTGGCCGGGTGGGAGGGGTAAGGGTCCCCGGAGGGAAGCAGGGAGAACAGCCACATAAAGGTCCCCCAGGCATTGGTCAAGGCGAGGAGAAACTGCCAACACCCAGATCCAAGTCTCTTTCCCCAGTCAAGTTTTCTGCTGGTGCTTCCTTCCTCCTTCAGGTATCATCCATCCAACACGCATCAAGCTTCTGCAGTTGGCTAGATTCTGGGAGGAATCAGTTCTATACATCCTGCCTCCTCCAGCATCAGAGATGCTTCTTCCTCATATGGCTGCTACCCTGGGTTGAGAGCCACTTTCTCCCTGTCACCTGCACTCCCTCTGGCACCACAGGAATGAGAATCTAGTGTGACCCCCTTCTGGATTGTGAAGAAGGAAAGGAGACAGAAGTTCCTTTTTTTTTTTTGCCGCCATCTCTCTTTCTCCATTGCTTCCCAGGACCTATGTCAACTCTCCAGCCCATGTTCAAGTTCGCCACTTCAGCATCAAGTTAAGAATAACGTAAGCACTCCGTACCCCAAAAACCCACCAGGTTTTCTCCTGTCACGCCAGCCTTCTGGCTTCACTCCAGGTCCCATCTGCCTCCTCCTCCTGTCTCTCCCTTTCTCTCTGCTCTCCTCCTTTCTTCTTGGAGGGTGGATTCCCAGAATGTTAAAGCTCAGCCACACTTAAGAGCATGGTGCCCATCCCCACTGTAGAGCCCAGCACCAGCTTTCCCCCATCTACAGAGACTGAGACAGACTCTACTTGGACCCTGAGGAAGAAAAACATTCATCTCAGCTCCACTCTCAGCTGACCTCCACCTGCAGGGCTCCAGCTCTACCAGCGACTGCAGCAGTGACACCCCACTTCCTCTCCACCTCTGTGCCCATGCTCCCCTGCAACACTCACGGGCCTTCAGGCTCAAGGATTCTCCCATCCTAGCTAGGGCTGCGACCTTGATTATCCATCCAAACCCCAGTCAAAGGTTATAACACTGTGATCCTCCCGGCCCTGCACCATTCTTATACACACATGGATGGATCCATGCCACTGTGACACCCCCAAATCTCTCCCTGTCCTTCTCCTATCAGCAATCATGCCCTCATGAGCCCTAAAGCTTTGACTCTACAGGATGGCAGAAGCTCCACAGCCCAACTCCACCTTCTCACGCCCAACCTTCTTCATACTGACTGGCATTCCAGGGCTAGCAGGTGCCCAGGCCTGGCTGACCCTGGTCTTTGGGCCCATGTATCTGCTTTCCCTGCTGGGCAATGGAGCACTGCTGGCAGTGATGCAGATAGACCCCACGCTGCACCAACCCATGTTTCTGCTCCTGGCCATGCTGGCAGCCACAGACCTGGGCTTAGCCACATCTGTAGCCCCAGGGCTGCTGGCTGTGCTGTGGCTCGGGCCCCGGCCTGTGCCATACGCTGCCTGCCTGGTCCAGATGTTCTTTGTTCACACACTGACTGCCATGGAATCTGGGGTGCTGTTGGCCATGGCCTGTGACCGTGCGGTGGCAGTAGGGCGTCCGCTGCACTACCCTGTCCTAGTCACCAAAGCCCGCATGGGCTATGCGGCCTTGGCCCTGGTGCTGAGGGCTGTGGCTATTGTTGTGCCTTTCCCTCTGCTGGTGGCACGATTTGAGCACTTCCAAGCCACAACCATAGACCACACCTACTGTGCCCACATGGCAGTTGTGGAGCTGGTGGTGGGTAACACACGGGCCAACAACTTGTATGGACTGGCACTTTCGTTGGCCGTGTCAGGTGTAGACATTCTAGGCATCACCGGCTCATATGGGCTCATTGCCCAGGCTGTGCTGAGGCTGCCCACCCAGGAAGCCCGTGCCAAGGCCTTTGGCACATGTAGTTCCCACATTTGTGTCATTCTGGCCTTCTACGTGCCTGGCCTCTTCTCCTACCTCACACACCGCTTTGGTCGTCACACCATCCCAAAGCCCGTGCACATCCTTCTCTCTAACATCTATTTGCTGCTGCCACCTGCCCTCAACCCCCTCATCTATGGAGCCCGCACCAAGCAGATCAGGGACCACCTCCTAGAAATCTTCACATTCAGAAAAAGCCAGTTCTAATGGACAGTGAAAACAATGGTGCCTGGGGGTGGAGGCTAGGGGACATTCAGAGGAGACTGGGGTCTGGAGTGTGGATTATGTCATCTTTGTCCCATGGTCTGCATACGACGTGATCATCACCCAACAGATATTTGCTGTGAAGGCTCTATGTGTACCACTGGCATCTGTAAACTGGCCTAGCCATGCATCCTGCTTGGGAAGAAACAGGAGACAGGGTACCACGTGTTATCAGGCAGGAAAAATAAGAGATCAGGGAATTATTATAGGATCATAGTGCATTCCGTTTAACTTAAAGAATAGCTATCCCCCTCCTCCTCCCCCCACCCCACTCCATCACCCCACCCCCACCTAAGTCTCCCCACGTTCCCTCACGAACGATCCTCCACAGATTCCGGACCTGGGGGTCTGGGAAGAGTGACACTGCCTCCGAAGGCAAGTGCTTGGAATCACAGCCCTCTACTCCTGGAGCCAGATTGTTTTCAGTCAGTCAGCAGGTATACAGGCTGATCCCCACCTTCTGAGAATTTGGATAATGTGCCCTGGAGTCCCAAATTTGTCCAAGATACCGTTCTTTAAGACATTCTCAGTTCAGACAATCTTCTCGGTCCCATGTATAATCACTATTACCCCTCCCGTTCCCACCCTGCCAAAGTCTCAGGAATTAATGGCTAGAACTGCTCTCCCAGGGGTCTGCAGTTTCAGGGGTCAGGAGTCCAAACGAAAGAAATTTTGATATCCCAGAAAACCACTGTAACCACTTCACCTGCTTGCCTGAGGTCCAGAGTCATTATGGTCTCTCACCTATCTGCCCTTTTGTGCATCCTCAGCCAAGAATGTAGAATTTCCAAATAGAATCCTCATCAGCACTCGCATTTGTCCTGGCCAACATCGTGAGACACACGCGATGTTGGTGCAGTATGATGAAATAGGGATATTTCACACTGCTGTGGCTGCCAGAGAACAGATATTGAACAGGAAGTGTCACAGTGTTGCCCCACATGAGAGTCACTTTCAGCTAAAAGACTCCGCTGGAAAGACATTGCACAAAAAGATTTTCATACCAGTATAAAGTCCAGAATGAGTATAATCTCAGACAAAAAGCAGAGAGTCAATGTTATGAGGTTAGAGAAATCTGCAGGCTGCACAGGCAGACCCAGGTTCTCTGGGAAAACAATCGTAACCGTGGGTATAGGAGTTAGCCACAAAAACCTGAAGCCTGGTGCTGTCCTGACAGCTCCGCACAGACAGCTGGACCAAGCACCATGGGATACCACACAGGAGGAGGCTGCAGATCTGAAAAAGCAAGTGATGCCATCTCCAGGGCCACATGGGGCCTCACCAGGTCCTCATTAACAAGAAACTGAAGAGAGAGCCCAGAAGCCTGGTATGATTTTCAGAGGTGCTGTCATGCTGAAGCCAAGTGGACGAGGAGGAAATCTAGTTTCCCTCAGCCCAAGTGTGGGCTCAGTCATTCTCAAGGCTCATCTCTTTCATGAAGTTGTGAGTTAAGAAGAACTCCAGGCAATGATTTTGCAGATAACTGTGACAAAATTCTAATCCTAATGAGTCATGAGTTTTTAAGATGTACATATCCTTCTCTGAGTGATTCCTCTTCAATAAATTTATCCTGACAAAATAATTAGAGATGTGAACAAAGATGTATGCAGTAAGATGTTTATTACAACATTATTATAAAGAAATATAAAGAAATGTGTGACAGTCCTGTGTCACACATACACACGCACACCGTTTTTGTCTTTCCCTTCTGGTACGTGAAAAGGGAAAATCACACACAGCCAATGTTCATAAGCAATGACTTCAGTCCCCCTCCCACCACTGGCAGCCTCTCTTCTAAGGCACCTTCACTCTGGTTGCACACAACTCCCAAGGCAGCTGAGTCCGAAGCTGTATACTGTTCCCTGTAAGAACTTTCCTCCCTCAAGCCAAAGGTCCACCCCCTTGGACACTCGTATTTTGTTTTGGATGGAGACTGCATACCTACCATGTGGAGTGTTTAGAAGGCTTTACCGGCACTCTCACTCCTCACAACAACCTGAGAACAATTATAAGCCCATAATCCTTTATCTATAATTCCAAAATAAAAAAAAAAATCTCTTAAGAAACAATAGTTTTTTCATAACTTTGATCCAAAATCTGGCCTGACCCATCACAATCATATTTATAGTATATATTTATCTCACTTAGTGTGAATATTCATACACTTAGCTACAGAATTATTGATGGGTTTGATTATAGGGCACTGCCCTGAATCGCACTGGGGTATTCCTTTATATATCATAAAGGCACTCTATTCCCTTTCTGAAGTCTGAAAAACTCTGAATTCCAAAACCCATCCATCCCAAAAGGTTTCAAATAAGGGATTAGGGACCTGTACGAGCATCCCTACAGCCTGAGAGAAGGGCTCCTCGTCACCACTGGTGCTGTTCAGTGCGGCCCTAGGGGTGCTTGCAGAAAGCAGCATGCTCTCTGGATGGTCAGCCCCACCTGTTTGTTCCCCTAGTGCTCCCCACCCTGCTCACTCCTCAGATACGCTGATGATCTGTGCCTTCTTCCCCAGGGAGACCCCAGAACTTGCCACAGTGGTGGCAAGACCCTTGAGCAAGATATGGCCCGAACAGCCCAGCCCTTGGGCTCATCAACTCCACCCAGAACTCAGCTGTCACCTGTTTTCCTTCAGCAACTTTCAGTCTCAGACTCTATGAGCCAAAAGGAAAGACAGACTTTTTTATGAGATTTTTTAGGGAGCAGGAGGATCATGGTGATCAGACAGCGAGAGAGAAGACAGAGGTATGGGCTTCTGGCTGAGTTCAACAGTACCAAGTTTCCCCTCTGAGCCCCCTCTATGAACAAAAATCCAAAAGAGAGCCTCATCTGATTTCACCAACAGCTCATCAACCTGGCACCTACCTCATCCGCCCCTTCGCATCCTGGAGCCCCTCAGGGTACAGATGTGCATCACTCTCTGCCTGTTTCTCAGCAGCTCTCACTGTCTGTCCCCCAGCATCTGTCTCCCTGCACCATCTGTCAGCTATGACCCGTGTCTGTCTCTTGTACTTGTCTCTCTCCACCTCTGTCTACCTCACTCAGAATTCCTTTCTGAGGAAACAGAGGTGCCAGCTATACTTTACTAGGTGAACTCTCCTTGTCGACCATAATAAAAAATGTGCTAAAGGGACATGAGGAGGAGGAGACTTGGTTTTACCTAACAAGAATCTTGGGGTTTCTGATTGAGTCTATGGTGGCTCTTCTCCCATTCTGCCCACTTCCCTTTAACCAGCACTTCGAACTTCAAACTGGCACACAGCCCTCGGGCAAGCACAAGGAACATGCTGATCTCTCCCTTCACCAGAAGAAACTACTGTTTAATGGTTAAAGCTGGAATCAGGCAGACTTGGATTTGAACCCTAGACCCTCCATGAACTCACTGTATGTTTTGCACTAGTTTACTTAATCTCTCTGAGCCTGTTAATTCACTTGTAAAATGGGGAGATAACAGTACCTAGTTCAAGAGATTACTAAAAGGGTTAACTAAGATAATGCCTTCAAAAGTGTTTGGAACAGCCCCTAACACATGCACTTTCAACAAATATTTAGATACTAATTCCTCTCCTGGAGCACAGGCCCATGCTCACTGTCAAACCCTTGCTGAAAGACCTGACACCCAAACGCTTTGCTCTGTCCAGGGAGACCTGCTCTCCACTGGGGCCAGTTACCTGTCCTTTAGGGAACTTCCCGGCAGCACTCTCCCACCACAGTAGGACCCTCCCCGGGGCCCCATACTCATACCACCTCAGTCAGCTCCAACAATGGCCAATTTTGTGAGAAGGCTCTACACGCTGGGCCAGGATAGCGGAGGGTGCTCCCCGCACACATGGGGGTCTTCCTGGGCACACAGGAGTGGAGTGGGGAAGGAGCTTCTAGGAAGACTCTCTAGGGTGGTTCTTCTCCAGGGAAAAACCGCTCTTCTTTCCCAGCAAAACACCAGGTTGAGATCTCCGGACAGAGACACAAGTGAAAATCACCCACAGGTTAGGGCTGCAGAGGGAGAGCACCCACTAGACACAAGGCAGCCCAGGAAAGGGAGTGGAGGATGGAGAACATTTTCTTAAATTTACCTGGGTGTATCTGGTTTCCTGAAAGTTCTCTCCAGTAACTAAGGCAACATTATCGCAATTCGATTCTCATCCTCCACACTGTCACCGCTCAGCACGGCACCCTCCTACACACCCACCCGGCTTTCATTGTAACTGTAACCCACTCACTAATAATGAGCTTCAACCTAGGCTGCACATTAGAACTGCCTGAGGAACTTTAAGAAACCCTGATGCCAAGGCATTTTCCAGACCCATTAAATCAGAATCCCTGGGAGTAGGATCCAGGTACTAGTAATTTTTAAAGCTCCCAGGTAATTCCAAAGCACAGCCAAAGTTGAAAGTCACTGCTTTATTCTCGTTTAGGTGCTGATCCCTGCTTCTCTCATGTCCCTCAGGACCCCAATCCAATCTCACAAAGAAGTCACCTGCAACTGACAAGATAGCAAAGCAAATTGCTTTAAGGAAGCTGCTAAAGGGAGGAGAGGCCTGATCCTGTTTCCTTAAAGAACTCAGACCAAGAACTACACACACAAACACACACACATATACACACACATACACACACACATGCAGACATGTACAAACGCCCTAATGGATACCTGCATCTTCCTCCCCTAAAGCAGGAGAATGAATAAGCAACTAAAGAGAATGAACTGAGGCTGTAGGCACAGTGAGGCTAGGAAAGTGACTGCCCTCTCCTCATCCAAGGCCCCGGCACCCAGCAGGACCTCTGTGACCTCATACTGCAGTAGGTCAGAGCCCAGGGCCTGGGGCCTCACCTCCCTGGGCAGCCTGGGGCTCCTGCAGCAGCCACTGCCCTGCCTAACCCCTCCCACACCCCCACCATGTTGGTTGGTACCCCTCACCTGCTGACACTGGATGAAGCTGATGCCACCTGGACCCTCATCAAAGATAAGGTAGGTAAAGAGGGCTAAAGAGGAAGTAACAAAGTGTGAGCTAGATGGGTCTGAGCAGTTTCTGACTAGGAAGGGGTGGAAAGCCTGGAGACGATAATAACTAACATTTAGTCAGTGCTGGCTTGTGTGCCAGGCACTGCACAGAGTGCCCAATTTAATTACAACTGCAAAAGCAGACAGAAAGGTTCCTTGAAAGACAACATACAGAGAGCCGTAAGAGCAGAAAGGAGAAGTGCTAAGGCAGGGTCAGGACTTAGGAGGT